CAAATGTGAGCTCTATGGGAGAGAGACAGCGCAATCTAGGGTAGAGTCAGCTGGGTAGAGTCACAAGGATATCCTGGAACTTGAACAGACCTTAACAAAATGAAGACAAAGGTAATGCCATCCAAGTGACTGAGGAAGGAGCCAGCAACCAGCCAGAATTTAGATGAATTTTCAGTTGTCAAAGAACTTAAGGTGAAAATTTCAGAGGAGTCACAAGTTCAAAGAATGAGCTTTAAACTTCTGCCAACATAAAAAAGACCAAAGTCAAAGTCAGTCCACCATTTAGCTTCTAATCAAGTAAAAAATTGTTGCCTCTCTTTCCTCTGGTTCCTTTTTCCTTGTCCATCTTTGGAGGGATCAGAAACCAGGAATGGCAAATCAAAGGAGGAAAAGTAGAAAAACTGGAGCAGAAAAAAAAAAGTCATTGAAGCCCCCTTCCTCAACTACTGGTTTCTCCCCTTGCAAGAGGCAAGGCTAAAGGTCAGCATGGGTGGGAAGGGAGCTTCATCTTTCAGTTTGGCCTGGAGTTTTTACTGCTGAAACTGGACATTTTAATCATTAAATTGAGACTTCTGTGACTTAGTTACTAAAGACTAATTTATATTATCTAAAAGCAACCAGAAAAATCTAGTTCATTCATGGAAGAGGATGAACCAGACTCACACATTAAATTGAAAGGGACAAAAATGATGTTTAATAATTACATCCCACTAGCCCTGATTCTCAACCTAATACATTTGCAGTCAACACTGGGTCAAGTATAGAAGTACACAAATGTGGCCTTATAAAACAAAACTGAACCCATCTAGCTTCCTGCCTATCCTGAGATGATTCAGCCATTAACAATTCTAGGGACGTGCCAAAACATAAGAATCTAATATTAATTCAAATATCTAATATTCATTCTAAAACTTGACATGAGTGGCCTAAATATGCCAGACTTCCTTTATAGGCAAAGACTATGTCTTTTTTCTTGCTCTATCTCTACCACTTAGAAAAGTCTCCCTTACATAAAACTGTTCTCCTTACCATAAGAAGGTTGAATAAATATGCATTCAGCCAAGCCTTTTTATTTCATTAGTTAAAAATACACTAAAGAACAAGCCAGGTGGTACACGCCTATAATCCCAGCACTTGGGATGCTGAGGTCAGCTTGTGCTACATAGTGAGACCCCATCTTAAAACACCAAACAATTATGTATATGTATGTATATGGACTGCGGTTTAGCTTAGTGATGGAGTGCTTGCTACAACAATGCAGAATGTGAAACCTTTAAACTTTGATATTGCAATAGGAGAAATAACTATATCTTTACAGTTTAGCAGAAAACCCTTCAAATAAATATATAATGCTATTAAATGCAGAAAGGATAACAGATTAGTAAATAAACTGTCATATATCCATACAATGAAATGCTATTCAGCAACAAAAAGGAACAAAGTATGTACGTGTGCAACAATACAAAGGCATCTCAAGAAAAACATATGTGAGATTCTATTTCTATAAAATTGCAAAAATGCAAACTAATTCATAGTGACAGAAAACCAGAGATTTTTTGGGTCTGGGGCTGAGGGGGAAGATGACTGCAGAGGGGAATGAGGGAAATTTGTGGACAGAAATGTTCTGTATCTTAGTTGTGGTTTCTCTGGTGTCAAAACTCACTGGTGTTAAAATCTGAACTACACACTTTACATGAATGAAGTTTAGGGGAAAAAAAAGAATAATGGAGTTGGGCATGGTGGCCTATGATCCCAGCATTTGAAAGGCAAAGGCAGTAGGATCAAGTTTGACATCTGCCCAGGTGTGGTAGTTCACTTCTATAATCTCAGCTACACAGGAGGCATAGGTAGGCGGATCACCATCTGAGGCCAGTATGAGACCTTATCTGAAAAATAATTAAAAGCAAAAGAAGGGCTTGAGGGCGTGGCTCAAGTAGCCTGGCACCTAACTAGCAAGCTTGAGGCCCTGAGTTCAAACCACAAAAGCACCACCAAAACAGGAACAATAACAATGATACTTTTGTAAATGCCACAACATATCCCCACCCAGCACAACAATAAATAACAATAATAATAATAAATAAAAGAGTGATGCCAGCCTGGGGTACATATGGAGACTCTATCTCCAAAACAAGCAGAACTCTTTTTTAAAGGAGAGAGAAGTATTTTAAAAATATAACTGTTATTATATAATACATATTCTCAATAACAGCCTACTATGTCTCACTAAAACAGGCATCATCATCCCTATTTTATAGCTTAGGGAACTGACACTGAAGGTTTAGTGACTTGTCAGGGTCACACTACTAGCAAGTGGTAGAATGGGAATTTTAATTCAGTGCATGTCACATTCCCAAGGAATGTCCTTATTTACACTGTTAATATAAATATACTTGACTTCTACTGATGCCTTCCCAAAAGAAACCATATCCTATTTTAAGATTAACTTTATAAGATCTAATTTTTTAAATATAAGCTATTATCAGGTTCCAACCATAATTCTATTTAATATACCTCTGTGGTATGAAATTTTACATACTATAGTAAAGTTGCTAACTAGCTACACACACACACACATTCACAAGGCCATGCTTGTAATACAGTATTTACAATAAGCGTCTGTGAATGTAAATTTTGATAACTTCCAGAATGGTACCTAAAAGAATCTGTTCTTATTTGAATGTTTTCAGATACTGAAGGGAACTGGCTGCCAGAGTCCTATTATGGGACTCTTTCATTCTCAGGCTTTATCTTACAAATATAAAGTCAAGAGGCAAGGGTAAGAAGTCCTGGATATTTCAGTGTAGCTCAGGGGTAATCACCCCTGACCTGGCATGATTGTGCCACCCCTCTTCCACCCTGCCCTGCCCCGGGAACATTTGGTTATGTCTACAGACATGTTTATTTTCACCGCTAACTGAGCAACAGAGGGTGCACAACCGGCACCGCTAACTGAGCAACAGAGGGTGCACAACCGGCACCGCTAACTGAGCAACAGAGGGTGCACAACCGGCACCGGCTGGGTAGTGCAGGGATACTGCCAAACACTCTGCGGTGCGCCGGTCAGCCCATCAACAAGCGGTGCGCCGGTCAGCCCATCAACAAGCGGTGCGCCGGTCAGCCCATCAACAAGCGGTGCGCCGGTCAGCCCATCAACAAGCGGTGCGCCGGTCAGCCCATCAACAAGCAGTGCTCCAGTCTACAACGGCAACTGCACTACACTGAGAAACAGGAGCACTGGGAATAAATATCTGAAGTGCTGACACACACATGGGGTGGTGAGAGTGTTTAGAAACTGTTACTACAAACACTAAATCAGAGTCCAAGTAACACTCAGCAGAGATTAGGTGGAGCATTCAGCAGTGGGGGAGCCCTGGCACGGGGCACGCCTCTCATTAGACTTGAGGTGGGTAGTGCAAAGAGAAACTGATACCACAGTCCACTCAATATCCCTTCTTCACCAGCGGTGCTGAACTGTTTTTTTTCTGACAAAAGAACAGGAAATTAAAAATGTTATAGCAAGGACAAAAGTACGAGAAACAGATCCTAATGAACACTACACAGTATCAGTACCAATTTATGGGTGTTTTTATTACTTACAGAGAACTCCACAGGGTTTAATCTAAAATGGATGTTGTGGACCCAGCACAAGAAAAAATCTGAATAAATATTCATGTGCTTTCCTCTGGACATCAGTATTCTGAAGATCGAATGCTATTGCAGGAGGCCTGGCTTTTAGCCTTCAACTGTTTCAATGCACACTGCTGTCTTTCTAGACTTTCCTGTCTCTGAATTTGAGGACCCTCTGTCACAAGACGAAATAGTAAAAACTGGAATTGTAGCAACCTCTGAGATGGTGCTCACATAGAACAAACAAGACAACAAAACAAAGAACAAAAAAGAAAACTTCATAAAATGTTGCCTTGCTTTTTGCATGTTGGAGTTTTACTGTTATTTACCTGCACCTTTTCTTTTTTGATTCTCTTTGTCCCTCGTTCTTTAGTCCTGTCATGTTTTTTTCTATCTCCAACCACATTTCTTCACTGAAATCTTTTTACCCTCTTTTCATCCCTTTTCAGTCTCATTTCTTCCTCTATCAATTCTAATGCCTTATTTTACTTTCTCGCAAAGTAAAAATTATATGTTGGGAATTTGGGGGTTGTATCAGACTTCAGAGGTTAATGGCAGTAAGCCCCTCAAGGCACCACCTCTCTTCATCACACCAACACTAGGGATCCAGTTGTTGTCACTTCTAACTTCCAGAAACCACAAATCACTTCTCAAAGGGCACTGCAAGATTGCTAGCAAGATCTAAAAGGAGCAGTGCAACCAATCCGAATTGCTTCTGCTTCAGAAACCAACTCTTCCTTACCATTAACATTAACTAAATGAGAAAAAGAACTCACTAACTCGGGTACCATCCTAAACTACAGTTCGCCAAATTTACAGGCTATCTCCTCTTTGAAAATTATCTTTTGATCAAATGAAACGCTTACCTAAATGCAAACACGGTGTGATTCATCTAATAAGACTTATTTGACTTTTTCTCGGGATAAGGAATGATTCATTAAATCCCCCAAATGTCATGCAAGGTACGTTTTACCCTCCTACATTCCTCGGAATAATCTCAGAAAGTTTATTCTCTCCTTAACTGTGTAGCCAATAACAGATGTCCATTAATTCCGAGGATTCGGGTCACATTAGGTAAAACGGTCCTGTACTTACAGGGTGCCTTGGTATGGTGCCTCGTGGAGCCTCGCAGACACAAGCGAGTCACAGTTAAGATTAATTACCAGGGTGAAACAGGGAACACAAACCCTAAATTTGCTCTGGGCTGGCGTAGCCCTAAAGAGCCACGAGGTGCAAGTCCCATACATCCAGCCTTGCAGTGGTAGGGTCAAGTTCGAATCTACTGTCACCAGCCTTCCTTCCGAAGTTCACATGGGCGGTGGCTTCTCCCGAGAACCCCGCGATCAGCTCGGGCAGGGCGCACCCCTTACCTTGGTGAGCTGCGCGATCTTCTTGCTCATTTTCAGGTGCAGGTCCTGGTTGTAGTCCATGCCGTGCCCGGTCGCGAATTTGGCTGCCCCTGTCGCCGAGCCGCCGTAATAGTGCTGCTGCCAGCTCATGCCTGGGGTCGCCATCTTCCCGACCGACCCCGGCTGGGGCACCTGTCCCCGGGAGGCCCGCGGAGCGACGCCGTCTGGGAGGCCAGGGGCGGGGCGGCCGCTGCCCCACGCGACGCCCGGGGTCCGGGCAGCCTCGACCTCAGGTGCGCTCCCCCCCGACCCGATTACCCCACGCCCGGCCCCCTCCTTCCTGAGACGGGGCGGTCTCGCCGGTCCGGAGCGGCGAGCGACACCAGCTCGGGGCGGACGCCCGGGTCCCGCAGTCGCCACCCGGGGCCGGGCCCTTTGTCGCCCGCTCCTCAGCTCGCGCCTGGCGGGGGCGTGGTGAGCGGCGCGGCTCCCTGCGTCCCGACCGCAGCCCGCACCCGGGACCCGGCGAGGCGGCCGCCGCCGGGGTTGCGGAGGGAGGAGGAGACGGGGCGGGCTGCAGCAGAGGAGGGCGGGGACCCGGGCAGACGCCGAGCCGGGCTGCCGTTACCAGGGCTCGCGGCGCGCGGCCCGCGGAGCGCGCGGGGTTGGCGACGTCATTTCCCCGCAGCCAAGCTCCGCCCCGCGCCCCGCGGCCCCGCAGCCCGTGCGAGCGCCAGGCGACACGCGCAGCCCTGTGCGTCCCCCCGGGGGAGGGGACCGCTTAAGCCCCCGCCCGGCTGGCGAGCCCCGTGTGCTGAGCGCGCAGCCTTCGGTCGTGATCACCTTCGGTTAGCAAAATGCCTGACGCCCCACAGAGTCCTTCCACGTGCATCCTCGTGTGTGCGGGGACCCAAGAACAGGTGCGCGCTCGCATGCAATTCCCTAACGACGACCTCAGCTCCGGAGACATGGCTCGAGGAGTAGCGGGGATCCGTTAATCCCTGCCCTGACTGTTCCTTCCAAATACACGCAAGTAGGATTATTACTATGTGCCAGACCGCTGTCCCTCATTCAATGCCAGGTGTGTGTGTTGGGGGGGGTCTATAGTCAATTGCACCCCTTCTCCCCAATTAATGGAGCCTGATACAATTCTTTATGAAATCTCCTTCACTGGGAGTTAGTAAGAATAGGACTAAAGTGGTAAAGAGGAGATGGAACAAGACGTAGCCTTAAGGATTTGGGGCTGCGCCAAAATTTATCATTATTTGCACTTTTAACCTGCCTAAATGTACTAGTCCCTACTAATTTTCTCTTAGTATCTCTGCTTCTGCAGGTCAAATGAGTTTTGCTTTTTTGTTTGTTTGTTTGTTTGTTTTTTAACATACTTATATCCTGTGTTGAAGTAAATGCACCATTTCAGGGTAATGTGAATACCAACACTAAAATACAGAATTGTATCTATTTTTAAAAAATCTGTTCTCCGTGCAGTTTTGCAGAACTGAATTACCCTACTTTATTTAATTGCTCTTTAGCATGCAAGTATCCATCATATACATCTGAGAATTTTAGCAGATTGAATTAAGGACCAAATTAAAGTGTCTGAATGTGATAAAATCTAAACAAGGCAAAGATTGACTAGGACCCTGAAATATTTCCAGATCTGTTGGAATTTCAGAAAGGAAGACTGAAATTGGCTATATCTTTTCCTGGAAGCTAGGTATTTGATTGCCTATTCTCCCCACCCCCCAACCACCACCACCACTAGACCTTCCAGAAAATAAGTTGTCTATTTCCAAGGTTCCAAATAAAGCAGATGGCCAGAAACAAGTATCATGCACAATTTTGCTCTTTTCTTAAGCACTAATGATTAAAAGACGTTAAGAGAATTAGGAATTAATTACAGAATTTGTGTTATTTCATCAAATTCTAGGCAGGGAAGATTCACAATTATTTTAGAACTCTTGGAAGTCTATTATGTTCCAAACAGAGCTATATGCTCGAAAGTTTCACTGAACTTATATAGCTAAGTCTTGGTAGGGCAAAGAAGGTATTTTGTTTTTGCTGCTGTGATATAGTGAAAAGAACATAGGACTGAAAATAAGAAAACCCATGTGTAGCCTCAGCTGAGTCACTGAACTTGTGCTGAACCTCAGAGCCTTTTCTGAAAAGACACAGTTTTCAGCCCCTTCCAGCTCTGATTTGGAAGTTAAAGATGTGATTTCGGTTCACTGTAATTTACTCTGAACCCCATTCAATGAGGTTCTGTCATCAAGACATGGAGTAGCCCAAAAGGACCCTTTTCCTAAAGTCCATGCTCAAAAGACTCCCAGGGTCATTCACTGAATTTAATATTTTTGCCCTTACTGAAAATGGTTAAGACAAGTGATTTGATAGAGAATTCTATTTGATTTTTATGCTATTTAATAAAATAATACATAGAAGCATAGAGAATAATGTACTCATAATCCCATCACCTAAAAGCTCACTTTTAAAGAATACAATAAAGGAGGTATACAATAGGAGAGAGAAGGTAGTTCCTGTTTCTATCATGAGATCATTTATGCAGAAATATTTATTGAATTTCTTTTGAGCTCCAGGTTCCGAGGCTGCTATGGTGACTAAGAATTAGTATCTGTCCGGAAGAAGTTAACAGTGTAGTGAAGAAGACAGACAAAGAATAAGGTGCAACACAGTGAGGTAAATGTTCAAGGAACTCCGAGAGGAGCTTAAGGTAGCCTTGGGGTGTCAGAGAGGCTTAATAGCACACAAAAAGGTGGTGCATGATGGGCTTCTGAAGGAGGCCTTTTTTAGGTAAAGGGAATAGAGAAGGTATGCCATACGCTCTGGGAAAAGCAAAGACAAAGCCCTGGAGATGAGAGTATGACCTATTTAGGGAATGGCAAGTGATGCAATGTTTGAATAGAGTATCAGAACATGAGGTAGAGCAGGTCTCAATAGTATTCATGGATGGGACAACTTATGTGCCTTGACCATGGCACATGCAACTTTATTCTGAAGACAATTATAAGCTTGAAGGGCCTTACACAGGCAAAATAAAATATTCAGACTATTTAGGAATTTATTGCTTTATTCAGGTGAGAGATGATGTTTGCTGACCTAAAATATGGCTGTGAGAAGAAAGAGAAAGGGATGGACATGAAACATCCATAAGGAAAAACAAACAGGACACTGTGGCATTGAGGAAGAGAGAGCAGTCAAATACTCTACCTGATACAGGGAACAAGGGACAGGTTGGGGAAAATAGATTCATGGTGAAATACATTAACATTTGGTTACCTGTGGGACATCTTTGTGGAGATATTCAGTTGCAATTAAATATAGGAGATGTAATACAGTTTCAAACTAGAATACAACAGAAGATAAATAATAATTTTAACAGCAGATCAGAAACCACAAGTATGTGAAAGATAGCATCATTCTAACTCTACTTTCTGGATTGTTAAAAAATGGTGAAGGAAGGGGTAGAAGGAGAAAGTAGTGGTGAAGGTGACTACAAAGGCTGACTAAAGATGGAGCTAGCACAACTGTTTCCAGGAGGGGTCCTAGCAGGCAATAACATGGTTATAAAATTTAGTAAAAATGTATAAAAGTAATATTTTTAATGTTTTCTCTTAAGCCTCCAAAATTATGTATATTTCAGGCCCAGAAAACTGAAGTTAATGCCAGTCAATATCAACTAAAGTTAAGAATTAAATTAGGACTGAAATGTGAGTTCAGATGTCAGTGGACAAGCTGGATGTGGTAGCATGTGCCAGTTGTCACAGCTACTTGGGAGGCTGAGGCAAGAGAACCACTTGAGCCCCAGAGTTTAAGACCAGCCAGACAACATAGTGAGACCCTGTCTCAAAAAAGAGAAAAGTAACACATGTTAGTGGACCAAAATCAAAGACAGCAAGGAACAAGTAGATTAAATTGGACTTTGTCAAAATGTAAAACTTTCATGTGCCAAAAGACACTGTCAAGAGAATGAGTGGCTGGGCATGGTGGTACACATGTACCACTTCTGTAATCCCAGTTACTTGGGAGGCAGAAATTAAGAAGATTGTGGTTCAAGGCTATCCTGGGCAAAAGTCAGTGAGACCTCAACTCAAAAACAGTGCAGTGGTGATGCACTTCTGCAATCCTTTACTTAGGAGGTAGAGGTAGGATCACGGTCTGAGGCCAGTTCAGGCAAACTTAGCTTAAGACACTAGCTGAAAAAATGAAAAGCAAAAAGGACTGTGTGTGTGTGTGTGTGTGTGTGTCTCAATTGGTAGAGTGCTTGCCTAAGTGTGATGCCCTGAGACTAATCCCCAAGTACTGTATGAGAGAGAGAGAGAGAGAGAGAGAGAGAGAGAGAGAGAGAGAAAGAAAGAATGACTTAGATGTGAGAAATATTTGTAAACTATGCATCTGATAAAGTATTAATATCTGGACTATATAAACAGCTCTTAAAACTAAACAACAAAAAAAGCAACCTGATTAAAAATGGACCAGGAACTTGAACTGTCATTCTTCCAGAGAAGACATATAAATAAGCACATGAGAAGATGCTCAACATCACCAGTAGTTTGGGCAATTCGAATGAAATCCACAATGAGATGCCCCTTCACACCCATTAGGATGGCTCCTATCAAAAACAAAGCAAACAAATAAGCCAAAACCACAAAATAACAAATGTTGCATGGAATTGGGACCGTGTGCGTTACTAGTTGGAATGTAAAATGGTGTAGCCACTGTGGGTTCCTCAAAATCATTAATATAGAATAACCACAGGAAAGCAAGTCCATTACTAATATATATATTATATATATATTAAAGATACTGTAAGCAAGAAATTAAAGATATTTGTGCATCAAAATCACAAGCAGAATTATTCCCATTATTCATAGTAGCCAAACAGATGGAAGCAACCCAAGTGTCCATTGAGAGATGAATGGATGAACAGAATGTGGTGTACACACAGATGGACTTTAAAGGCATTATGTTAAGTGGAATAAGCCAGACACAAAATAGACAAATACTTTAAGATTTCTAGTATAGTCAAACTCATAGAGACAGAGGTACAATGGTGGGAGCCAAAGGCTGGATGTGAGGAGAATGAGTTGGTGTTCAATGATTAGAGTTTCAGTTTGAGCAAATAAAAAGGTCGAGTGATGAATGGT